GGGAGCTCACTCCGCCATGCGGCACACTCGGGTCTCGAACTGCTGAACTACCAACCTTCCACAGCCTGCAGTTCAGTGTCTTAACCACTTGAGCCACCACAGCTCCAATTTCCCTAATACTCCCTACGATTAACAGCCCAAGGAAGGGCAGATTCAAAATAGGAAATGAGACCATAATACCATTAAGCCTTAATCTAACCACACCGTTGCAAAGCAGTGTGATTGTTTAAGACATGGAAAAAGCATCTAACTATGTTGAATGGCCTTATCTGATGTAATCTTAGATAAATGTAATGATGACAGATTCAAACAGTGGGTCTCAGTAATACACTTAAGATCTATCACTCATGTTTTATTTAATAGGAGGCTCTCAGAATGTTTTGTAAAGGGCAAAGGAACACATAAGCTGCTATTTATTACCATTCCTTTTTGCATTCTTGAGAGAGTCCCTTCCTACTAAAACACAGGAAAATTCAGGTATTGTAGGGGTTAAAATCTCTTTATTTTGAGACTAAAACCACGCCATAGGCAGATGACATAGCACTAAATTTAACTAATCCAGAACACCAGCTTCTAAAAGCTTTTGCAAGCCTGTCAGGTTGTATGGTTAATTTGAATAAACCAGAATGGTTGGGCCCTCAAAGTATCCACTGTGGATAAAAATCATATATATTATCTTCATGGGAGGAAAACACTACTACAACAATATGGATAACTGGGGATTTACAGCAAATAGTGAAGGACCAAGATCACTGGCCACAGCAAAGCATTTTTCTCAAAGCTCTAGGTGCTGCTTCTATTATTTGGGGATAGGAGGGTTAACCACCAAATGTGTGTGTGTGTTTGGAGATCAGATTTTTCTGCAAACCTGGAGCTTTGCTCAGGTTTGTTGAAAGATGTGTATTGTCTGTTCATGGCTCCATTGTCTGTATTTAAATATCCACAGATAAGGCTATGTTGAGAATTAGACATATAGATTATCAAGCAGTAATATCGGCAGCACTGTAGGAATGGAAATGCAAAGTTAAGATTAGACAAGGACAAAACATGCTATATCAAAATCAAGTTTATCTGATATAGTACTAGAGGGGAGACTAATTAAGGAAAATGTCTAAGGCTCTCTCAGTAGCACATTATCCGCAGTACAGTATAAACTGAATTCGTAAAGAACACTGAAATTAATCTGTATACTATTAGCCTCCTGTGGCCACGATCTGTAGATAGTTAAATCCATGGATTGAGGCCACACAGAGGTGTTTCCCAAGGTGTGTTTTAAAAAAATTCTTGTCAGCAAGAAAAAATACCCTGGAAAATAAAGGAGCGTTCTCTGTGCTTCCATTTTTTTTTCTCTTTCCTTACCTGTTTGGTGGAGACTGGGAGCTGCAGCAGGCTGTTTGGGAGTTTCTGCAGGCCCTGCCACTGTGTTGGACGCTGGGAGCTGCTCCAGGCCCTGCTGTGACAGGCACCGGGAGGAGCTCCCGGCTTGGAGCAGCTCCCAGACTTCAAAGCGGTTGGTTGGGCTGGACTTGTGAAATGGGGGGAGATGATATCCCCCCCCCTGAGTTTTGTGGGACCCCACTTGTTATTTATATTACTAGTTATAAGCTGCAGATCTAAGGGTCATACTCTTTGGATACATCAAAGATAAGAGTGAAGAAAGGAGATGAGGAAATGGTTTTTAATTTAATCATAGCTGACAATCTATAGATCTACACACTGGAACAAGACAACCTCACCACTTATTACAGCATGGGTTATGAGAATCTGCCATATTGTACTGCACAAGAATAAACATCAAATCTGAAGCTGACAACTTTATTGAAGATATATAAGTATTTCCATGGCAACTTTCAAGATCATATACAATCCTGTGTATTTTTTCAATGCTGTATAGATTAACCATTATCATAGATGAATTATGTCAAAGTATTTTTCTATTTTTAATCAAAATAAAAAAGGAAAAAAATCACATTCCTAGAAGTGTGGTATTTACTTAAGTTAAAGTTGTCAGCAATAGTAATTGGTTGATGGACCACTGCAGTAATTTGCTCTCTCTCAACCATCAGACTAGGACTACAGGACCTCTTACAAGCTTTCCTTTGTCAGCAAGAAAAATAATCAGATCCTACTGTGATTCTCTGGGCTGCCAACCTGCAACTGGGAAATGGTTCCTACTCATTCAGTTCCTCCACATGAAGGAAATGCTTGCCATGGCTGCCTTTTCCCTCCACAGCTCTGCAGCAGACAGCAAGGCGCTAGGCTAGAGAAAGGTCTGGGGATCACAGCCTATCAATCTAAAGTTTTGAAAGCTGAATGGTTACAGGTTACTGAAAAGGCCAACATGAATCTGAATTGTGTATTTTAGTTTGGGTCCTTTCCTCTCGTTAAACCTTATTTCCAGCAGTCAGGAAGAGCAAAGAATCTCAAGAAGCCAGCTAGATACAGATTTTTTAAAAATATCTTGCCAGAGCCACATAGAAATTATTTAGTCGTTAACTAGCTATTTTGTTTCACAAGCAACAGATGCTTCCTACATATAAGCCCTGCTGAAGACCACAGTGTGGAGTGCCTCAGAAATAGGTTTACCTGGCCTAACACTAAATAGGGTTGCCAACCTGCAGGTGGCACCTAGAAATCTCCTGCTATTATGATTGATCTCCAGGTGATCGAGATCAGTTCCCCTGGAGAAAATAGCTGCTCTGGAGGGCGGACTCTAGGTCATTGTGCTCTGCTGAGGTCTCACCCCTCCCCAAACCCTATCGTCCCCAAGCTCCACCCAGGGCTCTTTTTTAGCAGGAACTCCTTTGCATATTAGGCCACACACCCCTAATGTAGCCAATCCTCCAAGATCTTACAGAGCTCTTCTTACAGGAGCTACTGTAAGCTCTTGAAGGATTGGCTACATTAGGGGTGTGTCACTTAATATGCAAATGAGTACCTGCTACAAAAAGAGCCCTGCGTCCACCCCCAAAATCTCCTGGGTATTTCCTAAGCCAGAGCTGGCAACCCTGACACTAAAGTGCAGTTCTATAATCTTTTACTTCAGGGTCTATCAGTATGAAACACTGTGACAAAAGTTAAGTGTCAGAAACCACTGTGAACAATTATCAGTTATTGCACAAATTCCTAAATACTTTACAAACATGCAAAGGGACAACATTTTACCATCACTGCTGGAGCCCTCACTATTTAATAATGCTGGCCGTCGATTTGGGGATCACTGTCCATCTTGGGGATTTATATTCAGGATACTCAAGCACCTTAAATATTGTTATGAATTTTATTATGGATATGTAATATTGTTTTATTGTATTTCATCTATTTAATCTGGTATTAGCAGCTTGTTAGCCACCCTGAGCCGATTGGAAGGGCGGGATATAAATCTCAAAATAAATAAATTAATTAAATAAATAAATCTTCTTAGGAACTGCTTGACCAAAGTAGCAATGGATCTTAATTATGCCCTATTCACCTTAACACTCATATTGCTATTTTTCCCCCTAAGCACACCTTCCAACTGGCCACCTCTCAGCTCTTCAAACAAGTGGCAGGATTCTAAAAGGGCAAGGGGACTTTTCAGCCTTCTTCCTCCACTGTCTCCCCTACAGAGTTCCATAAACATGCTCACAAGTCCTTCATTAGAAGAAATGTTCCTCCTTTCCACTGTGAAGTACTTGGAGCCTTGCAGAATGCAAGTCACCCTGGAGGAATAGGGTTACTGGTGATCACAGCTACTTGCTGGTTAGTGATGCTATACCAGATAAATTCTGCAGAATCCTTCAAAAGTCTCGTCCTCCAGCATGAGTCCATTAGACAAGAAAGACTGCCTCCCATTCAAAAGGGAAACATCAACCCATGCAAATCCCCCGTCTGTGCAGAAATGCACACCTCCCTAGATCCCAGCCAATGAATGGAAAATAGAATTCAGAGTATTATGCACGTAATACATCAAAAGTTATATCTTTGTTATAAAAAGATTCTTTACCACTACACAAAACCATGTAAGAGTATGTCACAGTACTGGAATTTCCCCCCAGTAGCTTTTCTTCCACAAGACAGCCAGTAACTTTAGTCTGAACTATATTGCTTCAGCGTTTAAGAGGACAACACAAAAGATAGGAAAGTTATTTTTAGGGGTTAGGCTGTCATGTTCTAAGTCACTGTTCGATAGACTCTGAATCCAATAAAGTTATTACTATAATAGCTATTTTAATTATTTTCTGAAAAGTAATCTATCAGCAAATTTCTTCAAAGGAACTGCCAAATTAGAGCTCAAGGCTTCATAGACCTCCAGGAAGTTTCAGCCATAGTTTGTTAAACGGATTTTTATTTGTATCTGGCAACAATCAGACTCACAAGTATAAACAGAAAATGTTCTTGTGGTACCTAGAAAACATAAATTTACCGTAGCATAAACTTTAAACCTTGCCACCATCAGATGCAAGAAGTGAAATTTCAGACTGTGTTATCACTAGTTACAGAACAGTGAGTCCAGTGCCACCTTTAAGACCAACAAAATTTTATTCAAGGTATAAGCTTTTGTGTGCAAGCATATGTCTTCAGATACAGATTCCAAACCAGACTCCTTTTTATTTTGGTGCAGCAGGCTGACACAGGAATTTGTATTCACAAGTGCGTAGCTAACTTTTCAGGCACCAACTGTTAACAAGCCAGCCAGCAAATCTGGCACATGGCAAGACGCTTAATGTGAACAGCCACAACACACTAATTTAAACCAGTCTGAAAGTTGGTCCAGTCTGAAAAAAGGCAGAGTAGGCCCTGAGTGAACAAGTTCTAAAACTATATAACAGAGTGGTACCTTCTCAAAAAAACAAGACACTGAATTCTTGAGAATACAAAACATTAATTCCCTTAAGTACAAACCAATTGAGAATTGACAATAGAATGGCCAAATTTTTACAAGGATTTAAGTCCATAGCCACTGTGCAGGTATTAATAATTTTATAATGCAAACTAAAACATTAATTTGTTTGTCTTACCTAAATAAGGAATACAAGGAGTCATCTTCAAGCTGCTAATATAGTCTCTAAGCCGTTTATAATTGTCTTCTTTACTCATTACGTACTCCAACTTTTCAAAGGTAGTTTTGTCCTTCCGGCTCAGTAACTTTGGGGGAAAGAAGAACCAAAAGACTGTTATTGTGAATGAGTTTGCTACTCTTTTGTTCTCCTCCAATATGTTAACTACTGTTGGTAGTGTACAAGAGTCACAATTGATTAATACATGAAAATCTGGAAATGAGCCTTTGGGAAGATTAGCAAAGTGGTTCTTGTTCAGAGGAATACTGCCTCTGAACTTGGAGGGTCCATTTTGCTGTCATTTTAGAGCCATTATTAGAATTAGACAAATTCATAGATGATGAATCTTTAAAAGCCATTTATTACAGTGGTCATCTTGTCACATTAGTGGTAGTTAGTTATGCATCATGTGAAACAGTACTTATGTCTCTGGAACCTACTGTCAAGTCAGTTTCATTGGCTGTTCCTGAGTTCTGCTATGACAGAGGAAGCTCTTAATCCAGCTTTCCCAGCTTTAATTTTGTCAGAATCTGTACTCTTTTAAAAAAATTTCTTTTGCAGATGCTTCATTGTGTTAAAGAAAGCCTTCCTTATGACTCTTACGACTGTGATCTTTTGCCACTTTCTGACTCTTGTTTTCCTCTTTTTAAATTAATCCCCTAATTTTTGAGAAATCCCCTCCTGCTGTTTGACTTTCTGAACAATTCTACTCATGTAGGTTTTACAGCCTTGGCCACCAGAATGGTATATTGTATACCTCAGCAATCAGAACACAAGTTGCAGTTCAGAGAAAAATGACTCCCTTGGATACTTGCAAATAAAGCTAACCATCCATTATTTCTATTCTGACTGGCCTACAGTAAATGTTCACTTAAATGCTTAGCCATCATAATCTATATAGGCAAGCTTCTCTAAATGATTAAGATATTATTACTGAGAAAATGTTACTATTATAAAACCTAAACACTCATTCAGAACAAAAGACTACTATGGTTTAGCTACCATGCTTCAAACCATGCTCAGAGTGTAAATCACTAAAGCAAGAGATGTTCTGTAGATTCTATTGCATATATATGAGCTTCAAAAGATCATGGCTTTGCATGCTCAAACTGAGTAGAATTCATATATCACACATAGTTATTAAAAGTCTGTTCCAGTTCTCACCCAAAACTAGAAACAAATCGTGTTTATGACAGGATGCCAAATTAGAAAATGCTTGAATGAGCTTCAACAGAAGCAGCACTGAATGCCCAACAGAAGTTTTATTTAGTTTGAAGACCGAGAAAGAAAGGTATAAAAAAAACCCCATCTAGAAAATGTTTCCTGAGAAAGTAGAACCTATGTTCTTTCAAAACAGGCATTCAGGCCTATATAAAGTCGAACAGTTGCATAAGGATTTATTTCAAGGGACTCTGTGGGGATTTACGTATATTTATATAATGAGCAACACCACCCCAATATGAAATCAAATAAAACCAGCCTCTATAAATCATTCCTCCTTCTTTAAATAGAAATAAAACAAGGTAAGGCTGTGAGTGAATTATTGCTGATGACTCCAAACTGGAGAGATAAACCTCTTCGTATACTTGTTCCTGTTGCACTGGTTTTAACTGTGTAATCTGCCCTGAGTCAGCAAGGAAATTAAGAAAATAAATTACTACTCCATCAAAACTTTTAACTATAGTTCTTAATCACTACACAAGCATCTTGAATAGTAACATCTGAAGATGATTTTAAAAAGAATTAAAAACATGAGGCCTCTATTGCTAGCCACAGGTAAAAATCTACAAAAATAAAACGTATACAGTCTCTCTCTCTCTCTCTCTCACACACACACACAAATGTTCTTGTCTGATCCAAACAGAAATAAAACATGGATTGAATGTGATGAGGTTTCCAGCACACCACAAACAGTGGGGTAATGGGTGATGCAAAGAACATTTCTCTTGCCGCACACATCCCACCCACCACTGGCAAATTCACCAAGGAATTAATTTTTTTCATAATCCTGGCAGCAGAGGGGGCACTATTTGGAATTAGGAGGATGCTTTCTTATACTTCTTTTCCCCATCCAGTCTTTTTTTAAAATTTGGTTTCTTTTAATTCCCAGACACCTTGTAGAGTCTTCTGTTAACTTCATTTGAAAAAAGGACCTATTTCCTTTGCAGAGGAGAACCAGGATGATCCACATAACCAACCACTTTTTTCTGCCACAGCCAATTGCAAAAGAAAGGAACAACCATTAAACCTTCAGCACACCGTGATTTAAATGCTTTTTCTTGCCCTTTAATATTTTTGCATGTTTTTCTTGTCCTTCCCCCCACCCCCCCTCCAGCCAACGGTGAGTTATTCATCATGGACTGCATTTACTGAACACCAGTTGCTTGGGAAGTTGAAACTTTCTTGGAAGAAAGGCAACAATGAGCAGTTGTTCACTATTTTAATGAAGATTCTATATGACGTAAACCTCTGTTGTGTTCCAGCAAGGCAATTCTCGGCTGCAACAGTTAGGAACTACACTTCCATGCAATGAAGCAATATCCTTCTGAGTACCAGATATGGGGAAGAACTTTTTTTTAGTGTGTCATGTTATTTTCCAGATTACTCTGAAGGTCAGAAGGCAACCACTCCCTCATCTGTGTAGCTTACTCACCGCCCATGTTTTAGTTAACCTGAAGATAGGGGCACTTTGCAATCCAGATACCACAGCCATAAGGGCATGTAGATTATTCAGCTCATAGAGTTTCTGAGAATAAAAAAAATGTCGTAATTAAGAGTCAATATATTCAATTTATTACAATTTAAATTATCAACATTATTTCATACTTTGCAGAAAGCACAGAACGCTACAGCACAGGAACTACTCTGACATTAGCAATGAATAATTTAGAAAAATCTAATCTCTGCAAATTACAAATAATAAGTGAACAGAAAAGTGTCATGACTATTGGTAGGGTAACTAGGTCTCTCCTGGCAATAGGTGGGGGATGAGGGACTTATCAGGAGAAAGGAAAAGCCCAGGCCATGTTGCTGGCATCACACTGGAAATGATGTCATACTGGCGACCTCCAGGTGACATTCTGGTATTTGAGCAAAATCTCTATGGTAAAACTGGCTTATATCATAATGGCATAATGACATCACTTCCTGTGCGATGCTGGCAACATGCCTAGGCCTTCCTCATTCTGGTAAGTCCCCCTGATGGCCAGCTGATTGGTGGCTGGGGGGGGCAGGGCCTAGTAGGAGGGGACCCTCACCCTCAGCTGCGGATCTGGCAACCCTACACCTTGGCCCAGTGTGGACCTATAACTTAGCCCAATATGCTTTAGTTATCATTACAGACCACTCAGACAGACACATCTACCCTCCTTCCTTTTTCTCCTCTAGCTGAGTCCCTGCCGCTGCACTTTTAATACTAAACTTGTTTTCCATTATATATGCATCAAGTTTACCAACCACTGATGGGAAAGTGGGAGAGAATCAGAGCAGGAGGAAGGTGAAAGAGTGCTGCAAGGGTATATCTGATCTTTTCACCTTGGTTAAGAAGTTAGGCTCCCACCAGGGCCTTTTCCTGTTAATCGTTCAGATGTTCTACGTCTAAGCTATCACTGGAGGTTAAATTATGGCTGTGCATCTGGAGAAGTATGCTAGCATATAAACATCAGAATGCTCAAAAAGAACTAAAGAGAAACACAATCGCTAAAACCTAAAGGCTTCCAACAAACTTAAATTTCCCAATGAAACTGCAAGGAATTCCAGTTAATCTCAATGGGATTTGCTTTCAGATTGACTTTACTTAAACCAGTAGTACAGATGAACTGATAATTCCAGTGGAACGTCATAATTTTTTCTGACTCATATTCAACGGAGGTAGGCATTGCAACCATTCGGAAAACAAACTGTGTGCACACACTAAGTTGCTTCCGACTTAACGGCGACCCCGTGAATTAATAACCTCCAAAATGTCCTATCATTAAACAGCCTTGCACAGATCTTGCAAACTGAGGGCCATGACTTCCTTGATTGTATCAATCTATCTCCTGTTGGCTCGTCCTCTTTTCCTGCTGCCTTCAACTTTTCCTAGCATTGTCTTTTCCAGAGATTCTTATCTTCTCATAATGTGACCAAAGTATGATAGCTGCAGTTCGGTTATTTTAGATTCGAGGGAGAGTTCAGGCTTGATTTGCTCTAGAAATCACTGGTTTATCTTTTTGACAGTCCATGGAATCTGCAAAACCTCCGACACCACATTTCAAAGGAATCTTTCTTCCTGGCAGTTTTCTTCACCGTCCAACTTTCATACCCATAGTAATGGCATGACTTAGCTTGACGTTGATTACCACTGACACATCCTCACACTTAAGAATCTCTTCTAGCTCCTTCTGGGCTGCCCTTCCCAGTCTCAGTCTCTGTCTCCTGATTTCTTGGTGGCAGTCTCTTTCTGGGTTGATGATGGAGCCAAGGAATAGAAAATCTTTAACAATGTCTTCATTGTCAACCTTAAAGTTGTGCAATCCCCAAGTAGTCATTTTGTCTTCTTGATGCTCAGCTCCGGCTTTGGCCCTTTCTGTTTTAACCTCTATCAGTAGTTGTTTCAAGTTTTCACTATTTTCTGCCAGTAATACGGTGTTATTTGCATATCTCAAATTGTTAATGTTCCTTCCACTAATTTTCACTCTGCCTTCTAATCCAGTTTTCCTGATATGTTCTGCATAAAGACTGAACATACATGGAGATAAAATATATCCTTGTCTAACACCCTTGCCAACTGGAGGCCATTCTGTTTCTCCATATTCTGTCCTAACAGTAGCCTCTTGTCCAGAGTACAGATTGCACATCAAAACAATCTAATACTGTGGAATACCTATTTCTTTTACAACCACAGATCTCCAGTCAAAAGCTCTGCTGTAATCTATGAAACGCAACTTGATTGTCTTCTGAAATTCTCCTGCATGCTCCACTAACCAATGTGCAATATGACCTGTAGTACCTCTTCCTTTTCTGAAGCCAGCTTAGCTTTCACTTCACTTTCTAAAACTGCAGGCTCTTCTCCAAAAGTTTCTTCAAAACTTGGTCATCCTTTCATCTCTTCTGTATAGCTCTTCAGGGTATTGTTCTAATCTTTTAGCATGCCTAACCATGCTTTAAATTTATCTTTCTTTCAGTTTAGTTTATTGTAATTAGCCATTGGCCATTACAAAATTACAAAAATTAAATTTACCTTTGATTTCTTAGATCTTGAAAAACAGATCTCGTCTTTTTTTTTTTTTGCTGTTCTCTTGTATTTCTTACGCTGTAGAGAAGAGCAAGAGTCCAGCAGCACATTAAAGACTGAACAAAATTTGTGGCAGGGTATGAGCTTTCATCTCCTGCCAACCTAGCAGTTCAAAAGCAAGAAATTGAAAGTAGATAAATAGGTGCCACTTCAGTGGGAAGGTAACAGCGTTCCGTGCACCTTGGTGTTTAGTCATGCCGGCCACATGACCACGGAAATGTCTTCGGACAGCGCTGGCTCTTCGGCTTTGAAACGGAGATGAGCACTGCAACCCTAGAGTCGGATTTGACTGGCTTTCGAGCAAGGGAACCTTTACCTTTACGAGCTTTTATGAGTTACTGCCCACTTCTTCAGATCTGAAGAGAGCAGTGACTCAGAAAAACTCATACCCTGGCCAAAAATTTGGTTACTCTTCAAGGTGCTACTGGACTTGCTCTTTTCTACTGCTACTGTCAGACTAACATGGTTAACCTTCTTGATCTTTATGCTGGTTATTATAACAGTTGCTGGAACACTGCATTTAGATTTCAGACTCTATTTCTGTTACCTTTTACTTTTGCTTCTCATCTTTTAGCAATTTTGAGAGCTTCACCAGGTATCCATTGAGGCTTCTCATTTCTTTTGGCTATAGGAATAGTCTTTGTGTAGTCTTCCTTGATAATATATCTCTGGTTTCAGCCCACAGTTCTTCAAGTTCACGTTCACTTGAATGTAGTGATGCAAATCTGTTCTCTACATGGTCTTTAAACTTCGGAAATGTGGTTCAAATTATATTTTGACACTATGAATGCTTTGGCATTTGTCTTCAACTTTATTCTAATTTTTTATATTAACAATTCATGTTTTGGTGTTTGTCTTCAGCTTTATTCTAATTTTTGATATTAACGATTCATGGTCTGTACCACAATATATGGTCTGTACCACGAGCTCCCAGTCTTGTTTTAGCAGAAAGAATACAGAATCTTCTGATTCTGATTATCTATTTGATTTCTATACTGGCCATCTGGTGATGTTCATATATACAATCTTCTGTTTGGCTGCCTGAAACATGGATTTACAATGAACAACCTGTTGTCTTCACAGGACTCTATGAGTCTCTCTCTTGCTTCATTTCGTGCTCCTATCCCAAATCTTCCAACCATATTGGATTCTGCTTTGTGTCCTACTTTTGTGTTCCAGTCACTTAAGATCATCAACACATCTTGTTTAGATGTGCAACCACTTTCTTCCTAGACACTTGCATAAAGGCTTTCTATTTCTTCCTTATCCGTATCTGTAGTTGGGGCATAAACTTGAATTATGGTTATTTTGATAGCCCTTCCAGAAGTCTGATTGATATTATTTAGTCAGACTTTGCATTATAGCCCCTGACTGTGCTACATCTCACCTCATCACCTCATTTAGAGCAACTCTGTTTCTTCTGTATTTGTCATTTCCAGAGTAATTATCTTTGTAATTTTTTTACTGAAAATGTCCTAATCCAATCCACTTTAGTTCACTAACTAGGAAGATTGTATTGCTTTCTACTTTTTAACAACTCTTCCACAGAATCAGGAATTGCTACTTTTTAATATATATCTCCATTATTCTGACTTACAGCATATATAATTGATAAAGGCAAATATTTCCTCTCATCACAAGGTAAAAAGAGTCAAATATTTATTGAATGTGTTCCTGAAATTCAATGTTAAAGATTCACTTTGGCAAATCTGAAAAGAGAATTTACGTACCTTAGCAGTTTTAATGTAGTGGCTCAGAACCTCAGCTCGTATTTTTAATGTCTGTGAGTGAAGAATCTCTCTAACGACCCAAAAGCTTACCTAAAAATGAAAGAATCTGTAGTAATGCATACAAACAAACAAAAAAGACAAAAGAAACGAGAGGTGGTGGTAGTATAAAAGCTTAGAAGTGTTGGGACTTATTAACCTTAACTTTCATAATATAAAATCTCTGAAATAAACATTTTAGCCCCTTATTCCAAAGATGCAGATTGTGTCACTACCGTTAAATCAATAGTTCTTTTAATGTTATGCTTACAGTTATAGTTGACAAGATTCTATGCACTTTTCACAAGAACAAGAAAGAAATTCCTGAAAATGTATAGATGTAGAGAAGTCACAACTGACATTTACCTTGGAAATCTATTCACACACAATAGAACAGTCATAGACTTGAGGATTTTACTTTACTACCACTTTTCCGCATTGAATTTAAATTATTTGCTTGCAAAATAAGTCTTGATAGGAGACACTTAGTTTGCATGCACACAATACATGGAACTACAGTCATACAGCTAACAATACAGTCAACATCTGGTCAAGGATGAAAGAGACTTGGGACTCCCATATCTACTTCAATTTTCTTGGAAAAGCCAATTCCCACCTTTGATAAGTTAACAATAAATGAATTACAAGATCATTGGAGTTGAGTCCTATGCTACTGTGAAATGTAACTAGTCTGCAGAAGCTATTTTTGCTGCCTCCCTTGGGGACATGAGATGTGATGCAGGACAGGGTAACCAGCAGAAATCACCATCCCTTTATAGCTTGCACAAGATGAAAAACTCATGCAAAAGGGGTGTCTGATTTCCCATTCTGGCCGCAGCCCCCTTACCCCATGCTGCATTCCAAGCTGCTCTCAAGGGTACCCAGACCCTAAGAGGCAGCATGACAAGGGGACTTAAGGGCCTTTAATTAGGGTGGGAAAGGTCAAAGTAACTTCTGTAAACTTTATTTGCTTTGCTTTTAAAGTTCTGATCCTTCCCAGATATTGCCCAAGTACTCTATTCACAGCAGCAACTGGCCTATAAATTGGGAAAGATGCAAAGATGAACACTTTTCTACCACTGAAACAGTAAAGGCTATAATAATAATAAATCTAGTCAATATTAAGATACCAAGTAGTGAAAGGCTGCATATTTTCCGAACAGTTTCTCCCTTTCTCTTCCCATTCATAAAACACAATCCTTGCATTCTGTAGATAAACCTAGTGTTTAAGTTATAATAACATTTTGAGGAGGAAAGAAAAGAACCTTGCAGGTCTAAGGAATTGTGAAATACACTAAAGAGGGTGAGGTGGTAAACAGGGAAAATCCAAGCCGCTGAGACCCAACAGAACAAGACAGTTAAGCATTTCTATAAATACCTTATCCATTTAGAACTAAATAAAACTATCTGGCTTTTTATTCACCATCCCTCTAAAGAAACTGTTTACCCAGTCCACCACAGAGTAAGGTTTTACAACTCTACATCTGTTTATACATAATACTGCAAAGGAATCCAAATCCCGTTAGTTCTATATTGTTGCTGAGATCTCTGGGGCTCTGGAAATCCAGGTTTTGCGACACCAGAACTCAAACATGACCACCAGAATAACTCATGAAAACGAAATATGAAGTTTTAGGAAATAACTAGGGCTTTTTCCTGCTGCATTTTATGAGGAACTAGTGAAAAGGAATGTCAAAAAGGAAATTGGGCTAGAGAACTGTAGCTAGAATCCAAACAACTATGAAATTATTTCCACACACACAGAGTGGTGTGAACATTTCTCTGTCAGAAAAGTCATATTGACGACATTTTTGTATTATGGTAGGGAACCTTAGATCAATTACAGACATTTCTGTTTCGGTGGGGAGGGCAGGGTATAAATCAAAAAAATAAATAATAAAATAAATACTTGGCTTGACAGCAGAAAATGTAGATAAAAAAGATCCATTTTTTTAGACATTATGGTTTCCAGGGATAACCAAATTTTTACAAGTTTGTACAGAAAACCAACTGACAAAAATTCCCTCCTCAGATATGACAGCCACCACCCACCACACATGAGAAATTATCTTTCAGCCAGCTTCTCAGAATTAGAAGAAATTGTACAAGGTTACAGGATTTTCGGAGGGAGGCATCAATATTTCAGAAAAATCTGGCAGACAAAGGATACCCAAAGCAAGTTGAGCAAACATCTCTTACCAAGACCACTGCTAAAGACAGAAGGGAGATTCTAACTGGCAAGGAAAAAAGTGACCTTGGGAGCCTTGTATGCAGTCTGACTTACAATTCTATAAGTGCAGCCTTGAAAAAGGCATTTACAGGAATTGGAACATATTAGAAGATATCCCAATGTATAGAAAAGACCTATTGCTGCTTATAAAAAAAACAGCTCGTTTGAAAGATCTAGTACACAGCAATGTTCACCCACATCAGAATGCACAAGCTATCCTATCAGGTTCCAGCCCTCCACTAGGACACTTTCCCTGTGGGCATTGCTCTTTTTGCAAAAACACAAAACCTACGAAATATTTCATGAATCCTGTTGACAATCCTGCTGTGAATCCAGCGAAGATGGAGGTCCTGTGCCTGAGTTGGGGCAGTCCGAGGGTAGGGATCCCGTTCCTGACCTTCGATGGGGCCCCTCTGGTGCCAGCGCCAGAGATTAGGAGTTTGGGAGTGCTCCTAGATGCCTCCTTAACAATGGAGGCCCAGATAGCAGCCTTTTATCATCTTCGGCTGATCAGGCAGTTGGTTCTCTTCCTCGAACACAACAATTTAGCAACAGTGATCCAGGCAATGGTCACTTCGGGACTGGACTTCTGTAATGCCCTCTACATCGGGCTGCCCTTGTCTCAAATCCAGAAGCTGCAGCTGGTGCAAAGTGCCGCAGCTAGGCTCTTGATGGGGCTCCCTATTTGGGAGCACATCCAGCCAGTGCTAAAGGCATTGCACTGGCTACTTATAGCATATCGGATTCGTTTCAAGGTGCTTGTTATTACCTTTAATGGCCAGGGTCCTACATACCTGAGGGACCACCTTTCCCCATATATACACCCGAGAGCACTGTGATCAGGGGGCAAGAGTAGGCTGGCCCTCCCAAGTCTCAAGGAGGCCAGGCTATCAATAACCAGGGCCAGGGCATTTTCGGTGGCAGCTTCACTCTGGTGGAATGTGCTCCCAGAAGAGACCAGGGCCCTGTGGGACCTTTTGCAGTTCTGCAGGACCTGTAAAACAGAGCTCTCCCACCAGGCTTTTGGAGCCACTGCCACCACTAACTATTAATAATTGACGGCTTAAAGTGAGAGAGCCCTGTTCTCCTGGGAGTCAACTCATAGCCTGAGATAGCCGCCTAAGTTGATCTAAAAGAGCAGGAGCTGACTGCAAATAAAGAGCTTGTGCAATAACAACTGCTGTGAATTATTGATACCAATATTAACACTCTTAATGTTTCAATATTAATATTTAGAATTGTTTATTATTAATATTGTGTTAATGTACCTTACTGTAATTTTATTGTAATTTTATGCTGCTTTTGTAAGCCGCCCTGAGCCGGCCCTGGCCGGGAGGGCGGGATATACATTTAATAAGTCAAATCAAATCAACAAACAATATTATCTTAAAGAATTCACAACATGCAGTAGTGATCATGTGGTTTATGCAGTATCATGTGGATGTCGAAAAATGTATATTGGTAAGACAAGTAGACCTCTTAAGAGTCTCTGAACACAAAAGCAATATATCTCATAAAACAATTGGTGCTACTCTGGTAGAACATTTCTTAGAATACAAGCACAAACCCATAGGCTTCTTGTTTTGGGTTACATTTAATCTGATAGACAAGATGAATGAATTCTGTTGAGAAAAGAAGCTGAATGGATTTTGAAATTAAAAACCTGGACCCTAATGGGTTAAATGAGAACATCTCCTGGCAGATGCTCATGTAGGTAAGGAATAGAACAAGTTTGGACAGCTCACTTTGCTCCAGTGTATGTATGGGAACATAATGAAAAAGAACCTGAAAGGTCAGTAGAATTTTTAAATGTCCAAATTAACAAACTCTCAATAACAACAACCTATTATGAATTGTACTCTGTACATGCTCTGTGAAAATGTCCTGTGTTTTATTCATTGTTAGAATTATGTATTAATCTCCATGCTTGCCATCTTGGCTTGAGAAGTTCTGTCCCTAACAGTAAACACATGGGGGTAAATAAACTTCGGGATCAGCCAAAGATATGGGGAGAAATCCTGAACAGTGATGCTAAAGGAGGGGACCCCCCCCCAGCAGTCTACAAGTTGGAGGGGGGCAAAGGGGAAGGGATCATTCAGTATTTTAGGCTATATATGAGCTTCATTTCCATAAGCTAAAGCAAGTTTTAGCTTTCTTTCAATTATAAACCTGCTCCACATGTGCCAGCTTTATGCACTACATAAAGACCAGTACCTGGCGCATTAAAAAATTATGTTCCTTTAGAATTTGGATAGCTTTTATCACCAATGCAATCCATAAAACTACTCATGAGCTGCCCTGATATAGTTCGAATTCTCCAGTTATCTGGAGAATTTTTGCTTTTCAGCCAAAACTGACTCCTAAAGCTGATCATAGGAATAAAAAATAATTGCACTCAAATTCAATATACATATAATCTGGTGAGGGATTTCTCAGTTGAATCAGTCCTGGCACAATGGAGCTGCTTCCTGCGCTCCCCCAGTGCTCCATCAATGGCAGCTGAAACATGCAGGGAAAGGGTCCAGGAACAATAAAGGAGTGCTAAATAGGGATGGACATGAACAGAGAAAATGTGGTTCAGTTCGTGGCATGCCAGGTTTGCAAACCACAAACTTGTCATCAACTTTTAGTTGCCAAACAAACCGGTTCAGTTTGTGACAAAGTAAAACATCCCATCCCCCCGGTGTATTAGAGACACCAAACTCACAGGGGATCTCCAGCAAATTTAGTGAGGATTGGATTTATGGGGTCTGAGTTACAGTTCCCCAAAGAAGGTGACCCCAGGAATGTACTTTCTGGGAAATTGACAGGTGGTCATTTTGAC